GTTTTGGGAATAATAGATGTTGAATATTGATAGTTATTGAATTGATTTCATTTATGAGTTAAGTCTTCCGCATTATTTTCTGTTGTTATTACATTGAAATGTTAAGGTTTAGATTGGTTGGTTCGCTCATATAGGAGGGTAAGTGTGGGTGCCAGTCGCAACCCGATTTGGGTCGTGACAATCCACCACTAAAAGCTTCCTTATAAATATTGCTAACATATTCGTTCGTACAAACAAGCTAGTTGGTTTCTCAAATATGAATTCAACACCAAAATCTTATCATATGAGCATGTATTACAATAGATAAATCCTTAAGTAGTTATTATTTGCATTTAACAATTAACATATCCGTTTTCATATACCACTAGTACCAATATCGTAAATGTTTGTTACATCTACCACTAGAGCACATCATATTTATCGAGAAGAGCATTTCCGAATAGGTCACACACTTTTATCCATCTAATAGATGTTAAATATTATCAAATTAGTTTCATATGTAGCCCAAACTATATGAATTCTTTCATAGGTCAGGTCAATATCAAAAGTAACACACTCCATAACTCTAATTAAGTAAGTTCGATACTACTGTAGTAGAAATTCTAACATTAATTGGTGCAACAACATTTTCATCATTTTCCATAAGTATATACTTCCACTTCAGTATTAGGTCTAACATTCAATCCATACACGACACACCAATTACTCAAATTGGGAACCACACACGAGTTATCACTATAAGTGAGAGTGAGAAGAGTGAAGCGGTAATAATCAAAACCGAATCAAGTACGCACGGTAGAGATTCAAGAAGTGTATTTTTTTTCTTAAAAGTCACTATAGCCTCTCGAAGATAAGTACAGACATCTCCGTACTGATCTTCGAGACACTACTTAGACTCGACTTATACACACGTAAGACCTATGAACCTTGGGCTCTGATATCATTTTGTCACAACCCAAAAATGGACGCGATGACACTCGTCTTATCCCACTAAGACAAGTCAGAATAAAACTCAACTATTACAGTAAAATGCAGAAAATTTACTATCAACTTACATTATACCCCAAAACCTGGTTGTCACGTGTACAAGCCTCTAAAGTATTACAATTGAATCAAAAGAAAATATAAGTCTCATATGATATTGTTTCTAGAATAGAACAACATCATAAACAGGAGTAAGGAGGGATGCTGAGATGACCAACAACTACCTCACAAATCTCCAGGAAGCCTCGAAAGAGAAAAGAATATATCATAAAGGTCCGGGCTAGTAACCTACAAAAAATTATAGAAGCAAGGAGTGAGTACCAAAACCACACGGTACTCAGCAAGTAAATCCCTAAATACAAGCTAAGGGGATAAAATACAGGTACTCCTACCACCCCCAACCAAACCTCTACAACTACAACCTGCATAAACATCAAACCAACCTAACAGCTCACAGTTTACATCGCACGTAACTCAACAACAACACTTAGACAAATTACATATCCTCCAACACAACACTTTAACGAATTACATATCCTCAACAACAATACTTAAATAAATTAGATATCCTCAAAAGCAACACTTCAACAATTTACGTATTCTCAATAACAACACTTCAACAAATTACATATCCTCAACAACAACACTTAGATTAATTATATATCCTCAATAACAAGCTCAGTATTCAACAATCACAAGTTCCGCAAAAAGGCAATCACAAGATCAACAAAACACAATATCAAGTTCACTAATGATAAGTATGTGCAATGCAATAGAATGCAATGTCAAGTATAATGATACATGTTTGACCTAGTGATACACACCCGTTGTCTCTCACTGTGGGACCCAAGGGGGACATATCTGTCCAAGCATCTGTCGCAGTGCACGACACGATCCTTGATAATAGTAATCATCGCGATACGCGATACGTCCCTGAAAATATAGTATCCATCGCGGCGCGCGATATGTCCCTCTAAATGGTATGTCCTCTTTAAGTTATCATTCTTTCTCAATGCACATAACACTTTTCACCACCATGTCTCAAAATAATGCAAATGTCATGTTCAAGCAAATAAAGAGGATATCACCATTTTTATAACATTGCACAAATCACAACAACATCAACAATGATTCAAAAGCCTTTCAAACCATTCGCCATTATCAACATATCATACACAACCAATTATTCACATTGCCTTTTATTACCCTTTGTTTTCATCATTAGAATTAATCAATGTGGACAAGTCAACCCATCACCAAGTCCCATTACTCCCAAACATATATCAAAAGAAAATATATGCATTTCATACACTTAACAAGGGTTTAGAAATCCACTTGACTTAATCCATTAAGAATTTACTC